AAATCTTTTATAAATTTTTGCTTTAATTTATTTTCAAAACTGTCACATCATGGCCAATCTCATTGGTTTTAGTATTTTCTTGTAATTTACGTACAAAATTTGTCCATGTGTTGCATGTACTTTTGCTTTCATTGTTGTAGGCAGAATGCACTAACACATTACATTCATCTGTTACAATTCTGTCATGATACCTAATCATCTGTCTGCAAATATCAATGATAATGGGGTAGCTTCCAAGTTCATCTCTTGTCGCAATGTTGCTTGACTTTTTGTGAACTCCTAGTATGGTTTTACAAATTTTAATGTGTAGTTGTTCAAAACAAGTTTTATCATCAAATAATTTTTGAATGAATTTTTCACTTGTAATTTCAACATTGGCTCTGAGCAATTTGAATGTGAAAGCTCCCCAGATAGGCAGAACAGATCTCTTAAACATGTGTATAGCATTACTCACTGATAAATAATGGTTATGTAAATTAAGTGTTTGTTTAAAGACACCTATTGCTCGTTGTGTCTTCATCACTAAATATGTTAACTCGGATGTAACAGAAGTAAGTAAAAGGGCTGGAGGAGACAACTTAACACTTACTGTCCGTCAATTACTGAGATACAAAGGGTGACAGTCATCACTGTATCACTAATGTGTTGAATGAATATTCCATCAGTGACAATGATGGGTGTATTTTACGGTTAGTATTTGTTCATTATTTTAAATGGCTTGGTAATTCCCACCACCAATTATATAATGTCACATCATGTTGGCAAAATTTTAACTACCAGTTCCAAAATCGCTCTCGATAATTTTGTTAACTGTAAAAGGGTTAATTATTCACGGGGTTTTAATTTGCTTATTTTGCTGACTGGAAAATGTGCTAATTTAAAACTCAATGAATATGTAAAATTTAGCATAGAATACATTATCTAAATGATAAAACCGTGAATTTAAAACCCACTGAATATGCCTGAAATCAGCGAAATTTAAACCCAGTAAAAAGTAGTCATTTTATAGTACTCTGTATGTGTACTACGGTTGCATTTGAGGTTTTTATCATTTTAATGGTGTGCATATGTTACCGGTAATACATGAAGGTACACTTTACAAAAATACCCATGATATATTAATTATAGTATTCTTATTTTTTCTTGATATAATGATAACGTGTTACTTCATGCGTAAATCCTAGTAAATGAGATTTAAAAAAGGGGATTGTCACTTGCCCATTAATGCTGTATGTTGATGCTACCTTCAGGTCCTACCTGTTATGAGTCTCATGTTGACTTTGCGCCGGATCGTTTACTTATTTAATACGTATTTATCAGTGTAAAATTCAACCGAGAAAAAGTCAGAGTAGTAACAAAAACATAAAAGTCAGTAGCCTGTGTCAAGAAAGCTTACAGAATCAAAATAGTCTGTCAGCCGTCGCTGTCCATACCAGCGATACATAGAAACTGAGAATAACAATTGCATAGAAATGAAGAATAAGTTATTCTGGCCATCAGGCCATCAATCGAATCATCAGTCATGCTTGATTTAACTGATATTTCCATTCATTTGGTTAGTTGTCAGAGACTGAATGTTGTCAAGTTCGAGAGTGTGTTTTTACGAACGGCGACGTCAACATCACAATCCCTCAACACTGTGATTACATTGAAAAGGAAGTTCCATTGTCAAATTTCGGAGAGTAGAGGACTTTTTATACTGGAGACGTTTCAGTTGTTCGATTAGCATATCAAAATCCTTTATTTGAATAGGACATGTTCTATATATTCACCAAAATAACAACGTTGCCATGTTTCTAGGCATACAACGAACTTGAAACAAAAGAAATCTTTCTATCCAAACGACCTGGGTTTTTGGAAGTTTTATGGTCCTTGTGTTTCCGAGCGAAATTACCACTACCGCGAAGATACCCTCGAACGAATAGGTGACAAAGGTCAAAACAAATTTGAGGGAATCTGAAAACGTAACTTACTGCGCGTGAATTTCCTGACGAAGTTTTCAACGTTCTGGTTATCTCTGTATGACTGCAGTCCTTGAAACAAAATTGAGGGACTCTAAAAACACAATGTATGGCACGAAAAAAACGAAATGTAATGCAATTAATGCAATATCACGACGAATGTTCGCCCATTCTTTCATGTTTATTTGGCGATATGAATAATTCTGCCCAGTGCTTAGATTGGTTATTTATTAGAGGTGCCCAGTGAATCAAAATTTAGCATGAATGGCTTTCCGAACGAAAAATGTCAGTGTCATCCATTCATCCATTTTTGGGGTGATATATCATTGATTCAGTCCAGCGGTAATATAGCTTATTTATTAGGGGTACGAGGGAATCAAAATTTAGGATGTGAATTATAACCAAGAGGTGAGATAATACATACCCCAATCGTATTTTAATTTTAGTAAGCGAGGGTAAAACCTGTGTTTATGCTATGAGAAAGAACAGATCTTGAATGTATTTTAGTGCAAATACATTTTTTTATTGCCTAGCATGGCAAACGCAATTTAATGCAAGTGAATTTCGCCTACTAAGATTTAAATGGTGTAGAATTCAATATGCCGACACAACAACTTTCGGTATGTTAGTTGAAAATTTGTTCGAGTTTTCTCAGTGATAACTACGTGACCGGCTACCTACATCACATACTTTAAGGTAGAGATGCAGTTTATTTTGCAAATTTTGACAAATTTCACTTTTCAGCTTCTTTTTAGTGCACATCCCAGAATAGCTCCTAGACGTTTTGACCTTTTCTTTTGAAATTTTCACAAATGATTGACAATGTGTATATCTTCAAAACGTCGTTGTGGCTTTGTTTTTGGGTGTTAATTTATGCATAAACTTGAATTAGTGAAATTTGAGCTGCTGCCCAGCAAAATTGACAACTGATAGACAGTTTTCAAGACGACACTTTTTTCATAGTAAACAGATGTACCCGTAAACCAATTTTGAATGGAAACAGAGGCATGGTTTAGAAGCTAATTTTTTTTTAAATCACTTTTGACCAAAAAAACACATTTTTGTGCATATTTCAAACTACAGTGTCCATAAAAAAAATTACTTACAAAATTTCAAAATTTATACAATAAGCTTTTCGAAAATATATAGTTTTGTGGACAAGGGAGGTCATCTTGGTTGCCTAATTAACTAATTAAAATACCTGTCAAGTGAACTGCATCTCTACCTTAATCAGATTTGTGTTGATTCTTGTACACAAATATTTAAACAAAAAATTTAATTGAGATTCAGAAATTAATTGAAATTATGAAAATCATCACAGATCATTTTTTGGAACATACTAATCCTTTTGATTCAAGTACCTTCATGACACAAACACAGATAGGTACATGAAAAATAAAGTTTATTACTTTGGCAAAACAGGGGGGCACACAACGAAATCCATTGGCTTACAAGAAAGGACATGTCATGAGCCCTCATCATGTGAACGCAAAAAATAATACACAACTCAAAAATCTGTGTTAGTAATGAAGCTTCAGCCGCTGAGGCTGTAGTGTAATGAGAGATTGCAGCGTGACAGCAATTTGAGGTATAGACAGCGAAGGCTGCGGCTATACTGTGGAGGAGCAGCGTTGGCTGCAAGAAGTTAGTAGTTATGGTAGATGCCGCGTTTGAAGCAGCATGGCTGCAAATGGATGGTTAATGAGGTATTAATAAAATACATAAATCTCTATCTAGATAAAAGTACAACTATAGATAACATTATAATGGGGGGGGGGGGGTATGAGCCCCATGAAACTATGGCGAAGTCCCCAGAATGATGTGTACCTATATTCTTATTCTAATCATGGAAATTAATATTTGTTACAAATAAAAACAGGGTAGTCCTTCCAGTCTACTAGCCAATGAAACAATTAAAATTGAGGATATCTACAGCGGTGTATCTAATGTATATTATAAGTTGAAAAGACCCATTATTGTGAAGATAGTAAACTACCTTCCTCTTCTGAAGTACCCTATGAAATACACACACAAGGTGAGTCGTATGAAGTTTTGAAAATTAACAAATTTAGACAATAATTTACCCATTTCAGGTGGTCAAAAATTAATACAGAAATTATAGAAAAATACCTAAAGATTAGCAAATTGTTAAGGGTTGAGCAGTTTTCCAAAATCTATCCAATTACAGTTATGCATTCAAATTTTCAGAGCAGAATAACCATGATTAAACAGAGTTAATATTTGCATATTCCAGTACACTGAATGTATAAATAGTTGTGTTAACCTGACTTCCAACAGTTATTACCAGTCAAGGTTCAATCTTTGGTCCATCTATCTACTATACATTGACAGATCCTGTTCACCAAGTGTGTAATAAAGTGCACCCTCTTTACCAAGGTCAAGTACATTGTCTCTTAGTAGAATCTTGCACGATAACATGTTTAAATTAAATTGTCAAAACCATATATTATTCAGATAATTGTCTGTTAGTGTGTGAATTACATCGTAAAACTGAATCCTTTTTGCAACATCTGATGATTTACAAAAATCAAATAAAAAATGTATTATGGTAGCCAAGAATGGCATATTACCGAGAAGTCTGTTTTTTGTTTCAGTCTGTAAACAACTATGTTTATGAAGAGATTATAACCAAAGATAACACAGAGCAGTATACTGGATGTGATCCTGAATCATTATGTACATCAAATATGCACAGAAACCTTGTGTTGAAGGTATTAACATTTTGAGATGTAACTTA